ACTAGTTTGAAACAACATAAACTCAAAACTATTGATATTTAATCAGAATAAACCAATAAAGTTACCTTCCACCTAAATTGTGTACTTGCTGAATTTAAATTGTGCACTTTCTGAGTACGCGGCAGCAATTGTTTTACGAGGGGAACATTGGGGTTTGCATTGTTGCGGTGATGGATTGCTGTTCATGCGGTATATTTCAGTGATTGGAACTGTCGGATCGCGTTGTTGCGGTGATCTTAAACCTTGCGATTCACGGTGTTTATGTTATTCAGCGTTCGGTGTCCGGTGAAACGATCCGATTGATTGCAGTGGTGCATAGTTTTCTCGGATTTTTCCGTGATTCTATGTTTTAAAATCACGTGAATCCTACGCAACTCCTAAACTTTTGGGGTGTCGATGTTTCTTTGACTTTTCGTGCGTTGTTGCGGTGAATTCCGAATGTTTGTGCAGTGTTACGGTGTTCTTTTTTATTTTTTATTTTTTTTTACAGCTTTATTGGGAAACTAATATTACAACGTATTGAATAGAATAAAAAAATAACAGTTACCCAGGAAGGAAAGTCACGAACGGGACACGAGACCAATGCGAGGTGACCACCTCATGAATCGATGAAATAATTAAACGTAAAAATATATGCAAAAAAATATAACATTGTACGTAAAAATAAAAATAAGAATGGAAAAATTACTTCATTAAGATAAAATTCCGAAGGTCGTGGGTTCGATTCCCAGCGAGGTCGGAAATTAATTTTTCCGAATTTAATTCCAAGGGCTTTCGCCCGGAATAACCTCGTTCCCAAGCACTATAACTTATCTATATTTCTATATCTTAAGATAAAACTAGTATACTTTATATTATAAGGTTAACCTCTATGTCCCCCTCAGCTCTTTTACCGATATATAATGATGTGCAATCTAAACTTACCTCAATGCTTAAGTAAGCAAATTTTTCATCTTGTGTGAGTGGCTGGTCAATCTTATCTATGGACAGCAGCTCACATTCATGGACACCACTTATTTCAAAAGCAATCTTGTAGTTTATCGAACGACACCAAGACATAGCAACGCAAGCAAACACGCAATCCATTTGTTTCCGAACTTGGATTGTTTCACTTGTTAGATTCTTCGAGTTGACAGAAAACACGAGCTTCTGGTCAGCAAGTCTATTWAAAAAAAAACTCATTATAGAGATGGTCATCGTGCGTCGTACTCATGCAACTGCGAAGAATTTTTAACAGAAGCAAAATGGATAGAAATATAGAGCTCATGTTCATTCGTAGTCGTAGGAGGAGGATTGTTCTGAAAATGTTTGTTTCTGACCTCCTCGAGTTTGTTTCTTTTTACCACAAATTATTAATTTCTTGCTCGCGCGCTGATTGGCTATTTTTCATCATCGATAAGAGGACAGACCAATAAGCTGACATCAACGAGCGCGCGCTCTTTCCGTTGGTTGATTTGATCACTTAACGTCTTTAGGTAATTTTGGRCCTTTGCTATTGCGCATCCATTTAAATTATGACTATTGTTTCAAAGTCTTTTGAGGCTTCAATAAAGAATATCACAAGAAAGTCGCTCAAGAGAATATGAAGTAAGTACTTAATATTCTCTTGGTCGCTTTATCATAATTTTTGCCAGTCACGACTTTGTAGTTTCTTGAAATAGGTAGATATGTGTGCGTAGAGCTTGTTTATTAGTTAGAAAAAGAAAACATTCTTATATTTTATAAGCTGAATTTTATTCGATAAAATATACTTAAAGTTAGGTTAGATTTCTTGGCATTTTATTTAGGAATCTTGTGCTAAACGTATGAAAATGCGTTACAGTTGTTTCTATGACATATCCCTATATTTATTGATATAATGAAAAACGAGTGGTTACTTTTTTTTCAAATACAAAACTTAGACAAAATACTCGTCCACAGTCTCTCTCGTTTCAATATTTTCATTTTGGCGGCGAAAACGAGAGAGACTGTGGACGAATATTTTGGTTCCCAAAGCAAGGGAGCACGGCAGATATAAATTTGTTGATTATATAAATTTATATTTATCATCCGCCATATTGTTTACGTATGAGCCCGCGCGACTTTTAAGTAACCGCATGCGCGTCTATACCACAGGAGGACCAATCAATGGAATTATGTACCACAGGAAGACCAATCAACGAATTTATATCTGTCATAAGTTCATTTGTATCATCGTTTCTCCCCCTGATCTCAGTAGCTGTTTACTCGTAGTTTCAAATGTAGGTGACGTCACCTAAAATAGTAAATAACTTATCTAATTTAGTTGACGTCACCTATTCAACAGTGAGACTAAAAGCACTCTAAGTCGAAACTAGTTAATCTTTCAAAACGGAAATAAAGGATTGGTCGATATTGATTAGCAGCTTTAGCAGGTAGATTGAATTAGAATTTAGAACAGTCGATTTTTGTGGAGGGAGGCCGGACGCGGAGAACCCGAAGGAAAAACCATATATATATATAATAATAATAATAATAATAATAATAATAATAATAATAATAATAATAATAAAACAGTGGCCCAGAGGTGGCAATAATAGTTAAGCTATTGTCAGTAAACTGTTTTACAGAAGGAACTTCAAATCAGGAAAATGCACTTGAGTTTTTCCGATCAAGATTGCTTACTCATGCAACTGTTAAGGGGGAGTAGATGGTTATACTAGATTGTTATCTAATAATTTCACAAGCGCTGATATCATAGTGTTAGAAAATAATGAAATATCAGTTAACTCTTAACTACTAATTTTAGGTTATTTGTGAGTTATTAGTAACTACTGTTCTTTAGGTTAATTCTGAAGTTATCTGTTAAATCCCATCCACTCCATCTGTTTTTATAAATTCCAAATATGTTGCCAATTTTAAGAAAATTTTATATG